GCTGGGGAGATGGCTCAGTAGCATAAGCGCTTCCCTGGTTCCGCAAAAAAATTTAAAAAATAAAATAAAATAAAATAAAAAATAAAGAATTACTAAGTAGCGTAACTCCCAACTGAACAGATGGCACAAGCTCACACAATTGCCATATTCTTCAAGTTAGTGTAATACTGTTAATATCTGGGACATGTTATCATGCTAATACTATGGTATTTTAAACAAGTGCTAGCTTTCAAAAGCCCTAGCAGGGGCCAGGGAGATGGCTCAGTGGAATAAGCACTTCCCTGGCAAGTGCAAGGGCCTGAGTTCAATCCCCAGTTGCACCAAAAAAAAAAAAAAAAAATCATTAGCTACACAAGGCCTTTTAATTACACTTCATAACTAACCATACTTCAAGTCAGAAACTTTCAATAATAAATAACCAAGACTAAAAAATACCTTCTTGGGGCCAGGGAGATGGCTCAGTAGAATAAGCGCTTGCCTGGCAAGCACAAGGGGCTGAGTTCAATCCCTAGTTCTGCACAAAAAATAAAAATAAAAAATAAAATAAAAAATACCTTCTACAAAGTCAAAAGCAGGGTTGGTTATGGCCTGGTTTAATTATGTCTCTCCCATGCGGCGTGCACCTGTAATCACAGTATTCGGAAGGCTGGACTACATAAAGAAACTGTCTCAAAAACTTTCCATAGCCTAACCTATATCTCTTATCAACCAAATAAACCACCAAAAAATAATCAACCAAATTAGTTGTACAGCTGTTTAAAAAGAGAAAACACTCTCATGCCAACAAACTGAGTTAGAGAAAAGAAAGCAGAAATTAGACATTAGCAAACAAAAAGCTATCAAAACGCAGTCCACATACCATCCCAGGTATCTCCACCACCTAAAGAAAAGTGTGAGACGTATTAGCTGAAAGAGTCATATCTAGGAAGGAGCAAATAAAGGAATATATGCCAGAATTCACAAATTAACAGAACCTAAGACCCATGTAACCCAGATGCTCAAAGGAGTGCAAAGGGGTACGAAAGGCTGCCAGAGGGCAGAGTGCAAAGAGCAGCAGCAACAAATTACCTTCCAGAAACTTCTTTGCCAAGTAAGAGACATAAATGAAAGTCACAGTACACCTCACAAGGTTTTGGTTCAAGAACAATGAATGGACGGGAAACGGTTTATAGTGCACAGCAGTAGAATCAGCTCTTGGAAAGCACTGCCACCCTTCCTTCCAAGCGTGCACCTCACCTTCTGTTTCCATGTCTTGTCCTTTTGGCGCCTCCCCAATGTCAATGGTGAACATCACTATCTTTGGGGTCATGGTAGACATTCTGTTACTAAAACAAAATTTGTACGTTCCGTCCATGTGAGCAGCAAACGTGTACTTCCCACTGGACTCTCGGTCTCCTTTGTAAATCCCTTTATTATCAGGTCCTGTGATCTGGAGGCAGAAGAGAAATACATAAAATCTCACCAAAGCGTCAGGAATGTAGCTCAGCGGCCTAAGCGCCTGCCTGGTCAGCACAAGGTCCCGAGTTCGAGCCTCAATAATGCAAAATAAAATAAAATAAAATCTCACCGAAGTGAAATCATAAACCTCCTAAGTAATGTCCAGGACTCTCACTTGGCTCCACTTCTGGTAAGTGCAGCAACTACCCTGGCTGCGATCTTCCCCCTTCATGAAACAAAGGTAGACTACAAGGCTCTCTAAGCATCTTCCAGTTCTGGCTGCATCTATGTCCTATGTGTCTAACTGAAATTCAAATCCCTCAGAAACAAACCACAACTTTCACAGTCTCCAACTAGCCTAATACCTCAAGAAAATTCTGTCTGTTTGTTTCATACGGTTTCTGGGAGTGAATTCAGGACCTTGCGCTTTCCAGGCAGGTGCTTATGCTGCTGGGCTATATCCTGGGTCCATCAACAAATATTTGAACATGTGGGTGATACTTTAAAAAAAAAAACTTTATGTATTTAGTACAGGGCCTACAGGGTCTCACTACACAGATCAGTCTCTGTGATCCTGTTTTCAGCCTTCCAAGCACTGGGATCACAGGCACATGCGACCACGCAGTCTCAATCGCCTCAAGGAAGTCTCAGAGCGCCCCGGGGGTGGGGCTGGCACGTCACACCGGCATCGAATCCAGGTCCCCAGGTCCCTGCATCCACTCATGATGGTGCTTTACTCCGCTGAGCTATCTGGCCGGCCCCCCACAAAAACTTTAAAATGAGTATTCTTATAAACATTGCAAGATTTTTGTGATTACTGTCACACAATGAAGGAACTGCTTTATCAAATATTCCTGTTAAAACTTAAAGGAAAAAAAAAAAACTTAAAGGAAAGGACTCAACTGGAAATTAGAAAAATCACATTTTCATCGCTGTCTATCTCAAACCATCTGTTACATCAAGGCAGTCCTTTTAAGCTACTGTCACCTGTCAAACTTGGCTGAAAAGCTCATCTCTAAAGTCTCAGCTAACTCAAAGAGCCTCTTATACTGTGTAATTTGCGACCAGCTCTATTGCCCTTTACTGACAAATAAAAGACGAATTAAAATCTTAATTACACTCCGCATCAATCATTACTCCTAAAATGCACGATTAACTCCCCATCTCTCCCCCAGGCACAGCGAGCAAAACTTAGTAGCTGGAGTCTGATGCAAAACGTTAAGCTCGTTTTTACAAAAATTAAGGAAAAATTTAACTTCTGCCTAGCTTCCCGATCTACTTTTTGAGAAGTTTGCACGCCCCGTCCCGGCATCACAGTAACCAGGAGAGCGGCTGCTGATCGGCTTGGGACCAATCGCGCTCGAGTCTCGGCGCCTTCGGGGCGGAGAATAACACGAGGCGCTCGGGCGACAAAGCCCGGCCACAGGGGCTCCCCCGGACGCCGCCGTCCAACTACTGGGCCGTGGGGAGCACAGAGCGGCCCGGCGGCCCCGTGGCGCGGGTTCCGGTGGCAAATAGGACCCGACGGGTCGCCGGGGGGCACGGCCCCTCCCAGCACCGACGGCGGCCCGGGCCGCGCCGCTCCCTGGTCGCGCGCTCCACCAGTCCCCACGCCGCCGCGCGAAGCCGCCTCGGCAGCGGGCAGCGCGCCCGCACCTCCACGTCGATGTCCAGGAAGCCGCCCTCGGCCACCTCGAAGATGAGGCCCATCTTGGTGCCCGAGGTGACCCGCTCGAAGAAACACTCCTCGGCATGCGCATCGATGCTAACGAAGTAGCCCGAGGCCGTGGCCAAGAGAGCGGCCAAGAGCACCAGCAGTTCCGCAAGCGTCACCATGGTGGGGCTGGGGCCGAAGCCAGGACCCGGACTGCGGCCTCCCGAGTCGCCGCCACCGCTACCTCCTCGGCCGCCGCCACCTCAGCTCCGCCCCTTCCGGCTGCGCCACCCGTGGGGGCTGATGCGTGCTCAGCGGATTGGTGAGCGCCAGGGGCTGCCACGTAACGGATCACGGCGGCCGCCGAGGTTCATGCCAGCTGGCGCGGCTCCGGCTCGGACGGCGGCTCCGAGGTGCCAAACCGTTCTCGCCCAGCCTTCTGGCCCGCAAACCAATCTTCACGTAGACTTCTCAGGAAAGCAGTAATCAAGAGGCTGCCCTGCCCGGTAATCGCCGTTTTACACTTGCTCCAAGGATCGTGAACGATTTGGGAGCCAGTGATGGAATGTAGAGGATGGAAAGTGGGGACTGAAGAAAAAAAAAAAAAAAATGCGGGGACTGCAGTCAAAAGCTTTGAGGGGTTTTGCTGTAATGCCCCCTCCCCATTTCCCTGTTTATCTGGGTCTGGGGAAAGGCGGATGTAGACGCGGGGTTCTGGAAATATCCGAGATCTTCACCTAGTTGTGGATAGTTGCATGTTTTACGTATTTTGTGTTGTTTATCAAGAAGCTGTGGAGTCTGGGCGTGGTGGCGCGCGCCTGTAATCCCAGCAATGGGGAGGCATAAAACAGGAGTATCATTACTGTGGAGTCCGAGCTGCAGAGTGAAACCCTGTACCAAATACATAACAAAATAATAATAATAATAATAATAATAATAATAACTGTGTATTTAAGACAAATCTCCTTCCCCAGACCCAGATAAACAGGGAAATGGGGAGGGGGCATTACAGCAAAACCCCTCAAAGCTTTTGACTGCAGTCCCCACTTTTTTTTTTTTCCTTCAGTCCCCACTTTCCATCCTCTACATTCCATCACTGGCTCCCAAATCGTTCACGATCCTTGGAGCAAGTGTAAAACGGCGATTACCGGGCAGGGCAGCCTCTTGATTACTGCTTTCCTGAGAAGTCTACGTGAAGATTGACCTCATTTTACTTTATGTATGTAACCTATTATCTGCCAGAAGAGCTTACCTTGTTCAGTTCCCTCAGTGCAGCTCTCCCAGTTCTCTAAAGCCTTGCAGTCCTGCACCCCCTTAGCCCTCGCCTGCTAGTGCGATTGTCCTTGCTGACCCTGGGCCTGCTGGCATTCCCCTACTTATCGCTCACGACCCAATTCAGACATCACCTTTGGGTCCCCAAATGCTCCTAGATATCCTTCTCCTCGATAATCGCCTCCTCCTTCTGGCTTGCGGCCCAGACCTGTTCTGACCAAATGACTCAGATGTACCACGCCTGAAGCACAGCCTTGGTGCCCATGGGACCATCCTCTCACGAGGCCCCTACTTGCAGCCACAAAAGAGGGCTCCTCGCACGCTGGTCGGGTCATTGGCCTGACCTGGTGTTGAGCACCCTGAACTCTCTCTCCACTTGAGCACATAATTGTGGGACTTGCGGAGAAGGAATTTTTCTTCAATGTAAAAAGAGACGAGGGGCCAGGGAGATGTTTCAGTGGAATAAGTGCTTCCCTGGCAAGCGCAAGGGCCTGAGTTCAATCCCCGGTTCCGCAAAAAAATAAAAAAAAATAAAAAGAGACAATGACACCAGCATGCCTGACAAATTCAAGAGGTTATTCTTTTTTTTAGGACCAATAGACAATAGGGGGCAGTAGCAGCACGATATCGAA